CCCAACCACTTTGAATACACAGATACAAAATGGACATTCATCGGTATACCCCATTTTTTCTAAGACCTTCATTCTTATTGTTGCTGTTATTATTATTCTATTGTGTACTCTGAAAGAATATAAGGAATATTTACACATTTGAATTATTATTCAGCAAAGTGTTTCCTTGGATGAGAAAGCCTGGGCTGCTCCAGTAGACCAGCGTGAGGAGGTCTAATCAAATTACTAGGTACACTAGTCAGATCTGTGGCCTCCTGGGGCTTACAGTACATCTATTAGCAAAGTATAATCTTCCTGGCTGTATAACCTTTAAAATGGATTTAAAAAGCTAGCTTAGAAAATAGATATTGTCATTTGTCACAGTTTTGGCATTTGTATACTTGTGCCACATAATTAAAATTCAGCCAAAAAATATTACCTATTAAATGTTCTTTTCTTTTTTGGGGGGTGGGGATGGAACTGGGGATTGAACTCAGGCCCTTGTGCTTGCCAGGGAAGCACTTATTCTACTGAGCCATCTCTCCAGCCCTTTAAATGTTATTATTGCCTATTCCATATGGAAATTTATTTGTTTATTTATTTAGTATTTAGTACAGGGTCTACAGGGCCTCACTATGTAGATCAGACTTGTAGTGATTGTCCTGTTTTCAGCCTCCCAAGCACTGGGATTACAGGCACGTGCCTCCACGCCAAGTCTCAGTCGCCTCTCAGTGCTCCCCTGGGGTACGGTCAGCATGGCAGGCTGGGTGGCAGGCTGGGGGGGTCAAACTGTGGCCGCTGTGCTCTGCCTAAGCAGGTGCTTTAGTCCACTGAGCTATCTGGCCGGCCCTTAGAATTTTATTTAAACAATTCAAACACATGGTTCCAAGCGCACTCTACCTCTCTGTTGAGTTTTAGGGAGTTCTGTGTGTGCGTTTCTGGCACGCAGCGGTCCATACAGCACACAGGTGAGCACTTGCTGAAGGACGCAGTGCTCGTCATGGGAAGATGCACGATCTTCAGCCAGTGCTGTGGTTTTCACAGAAGCGCCAGGTGCTGGCTGATCTGACCAGGCCGATGCTGGCTTCGCTGTGTAGAGTTCTCGGGCTGAGCTCGGCACCCTGAAGCCCCGCAGGCCAGAGCCCAGCAACGTGGGTATCCTCTTAAGGGACACAGCAGAGTGGCACTCAGTGACTGAACTGAGGACAGTAGCACCAGCTCTGCGTGCAAGCACAGAGCTCAGCGTGCATTCTCTTCATTATCAAAGCTTCCCACTGCTGGGTCTGGGTTGGTGACATCTCTCAGACACCTTTGAAATAGTGCTGAATGTTGTAACTCAAAAACGAGGTAGGCTCAAAAGTTTAAAAAGCGCTTTATTTTAGCTGGTACCCAGCGGCAACACCCGGCACAAAGTGCCTAAGTGCGCCCCTCAGGGAGGGAGCATGGGGTTTATAAAGCTTAAAACCGCAAAGCAGGCACAACTTAGGGAGTTCAGGAAGACATGGCAGCTGCTGAGACTAAATATGGTTAGGGGTTTGAGGAAGTTCTAGGAATTTAAGGGTGGGGGCGAGGGCTTGCAGCAGCGGCTTACGGGAACAGAAGTTTTGTGAGATAGACACATTTTACAGCAGCTGACATGGTTCACTAAGACGGTGCATGCAGAACAGGATGGCGGCGCTTTGGTCAGGTTATAACACTGATGACTTCTGGGGTAGATTTCTGGTAAATAAATCTAGATGCCTCTATGGTGGGTTATAGTAGAGTTTATAATATCAAAGGCCAATACAGGTGGTTTTCCACGTTCTCTGAGGTTTTCATTTCATTAAAAACTCTTGATTAAAAAAAAACACAACAACAAAACACTTGCTAAATGTAACAGTTAAGCTGCAATAGTATTCCATTTCAGCTCGCCTCTTTCCTGTCTACCTAGAGGTATGTGGTGGGGCAGTAAGCAA